CTGTCTCGTTTAACGGCGTTGAGGTGACAGATCCGAAGAGGTGCGCGTGTTATTTCAACCGGCAGTTTATAGAGCACCCCGAGAGTGACCGGGCGAAGAGAAGAGTGTTGCGCCGTATACGCTCTCTTCAGGTGGAGGAGGAACCACCACAATTTACGTTGGAGGATGTTGCAAATGTCATCAGGAACGCGAAATCATCCAAAGCGCTTGGTCCAGATGGAATCTCAATGGTGATGTTGAAGCAGCTTGATGAGCCAGGAGTAGATTATCTCACCAAAGCCCTCAACTTGTCGTTATCCACCCTAGTAGTTCCCGACGCCTGGAAAATGGGCAGGGTGGTCCCGCTGCCAGCAAAGGTGAGTCATACAGGCCAATCTCACTTTTGTCGCCAGTAGCCAAGACACTTGAGGCTTTACTACTCCCCAGCATTCGTGAATGCTACTCGGTTGCTGATCATCAGCATGGATTCCGGAAACAGCATAGCACAACAACAGCTTTGCACGCCATTTCCACACACATAGCAGAAGGACTTAACCAGAACAGGCCGTGTAACAGGACAGTCATGGTGGCGCTAGACCTATCAAAGGCATTTGATACCGTCAGTCACGCCAAACTGTTCGAGGACATCGAGAGAACAACCCTCCGGCCAAGTTTGAAACGTTGGATCGTGAACTATATGTGTGGACGCCAGTCGTACGTGGAATTCAGAGACAGGAAATCGAAGGCCCGTAGAGTTAAACAGGGAGTTCCCCAAGGAGGGGTGATATCTCCGGAACTGTTTAACCTCTACCTCTCTGGAATTCCACGCCCACCGGACGGCATAAAGATCGTGACATATGCGGATGATTGCACGATTATGGCGTCAGGACCAAAAATTGATGACATTTGCGAGAGGCTGAATCACTATCTCGTAGATATCGCAGATTTTTTCCGGTCGAGGAATATGAAAATATCCGCCACTAAATCAACGGCCACACTGTTTACCACATGGACAGCGGAAATGAGGCTATCTTTGAATGTGCAGGTCGAGGGGTCCACAATTCCGACCACTAATTACCCCAAGGCTCTAGGGGTCACATTCGATAGCCTATACAAGTCGTCCGCGCATGCCACAGCTATTTGCGACAAAGTCAGGAGCAGAAACAAGGTTCTCAAGTCGCTAGCCGGCAGCACTTGGGGAGCTGACAAAGAAACCTTGTTAACGACTTATAAGGCAATAGGCCGGTCTGTGGTAAACTATGCGGCGCCAGTGTGGTCCGCTAACGTTAGTGCAACGCAGTGGAAAAATCTTCAATCCTGCCAAAATGCCGCCCTGAGGACTGCAACAGGGTGTCTCCTCATGACTCCAATAGACCACTTGCGTGAGGAGACGAAGATCCTTCCTGTGCGTCAACACAACAAGATGTTGTCGATGCAATACTTGCTTGGGTGTTATAGGAGCAGCCATCCGAACCGCTACCTAATGGATAGGCACCCACCACCCAGGCATGTCAGGAAGGATCTCCATGATCTGGAAAGAGAGGTCCAGAGATACAAAAGGGAGCCTCTAGATCAACAGGCCTATCAAGCAGGATTGAACAGTATTCACACGGACGCAGTTGAGGAAGCAGTTCAAGAATATCGTGTGAATACCATCCTCGATGACCATCCGCCTGAGATAGCCGCAGAAGAGCAGCAGCTACCTCGACAAACTAGAGTGGTCTTGGCACAGCTGAGATCTGGATGGTGTAGCCGCCTCAATTCGTATTGGGCACGGATTGATGGGGAGGTCGACAATGTCTGCCCGGCATGTGGTAACGGACCACATGATACGCTACATCTGTTTAATTGCCCAGCCAAGCCCACTCTCCTAACCCCATCTTCTCTCTGGACTCAACCTGTACAGGTCGCAGCCTTTCTGAATTTGGAGTTAGAGGCAGAACCAGATTAAGACAAATTGGAAATACACAGCAGTACTAGCTGCTACAACAACAACAACCACATGGAAATTTGTTATTGTAAGTTATACAAGTGTCAACGTCATTTGACAGAAAAATGTAAACCGACAAACAAATTATATTTGTTTTGAAAATGTAATATTTTCGAGTCCTCAAAATAAAATTGAAAAACAAATGAAAATCTATCAAATTTTTGGAACGTTTTTCAATTTTTCTTCAGTCGCTGAAAATGCCACTCTGACACAACACGGTTTCCATTTAGTCTCCATCCCACCTCATTCGTAACTATCGGTTATACCATTTTGAATTCATCTTTATCGGCCGTTTTGTCTTCTCCTCCCATTCGTTCATTTTTGACATTTTCACAAAAACAACAAAAAAATCAATTGTCATTGAATTTTTTACAGAACCGATCCACGGAAATTTTAAGATTTTTTAAACAAATTTTTTTATCAATATTTATGCAATATATTTTGCAAAAACGCCTAAAAGAGCCGGAAAAGCTTAACTGCAATACGTAGCTATGTCAATGGATATTGGTTTGGTGGCATAGAGAACTTGTGGGAGACTAAACAACTGCTTAACATAAGAAAAAATAGAAGTTCATCACCAGACCAATTAACTAAAATAAGAAATAACACCTAGACAGCAGTTAGTAGTAGGTCAGTAGGAGGTATATCTGATGGGATATGATAAATATCTTATCGAAATTTATTTATTTACAGTTTTGTAAACATTTCGAGGAGACCACACAGAGTTTTTTTTCGTATTATTCTGGAATAACAACTGCTACGTTGTACACAAACATGGATGACGGACTTACCAATGAACAGACGGAGAAGGTGTTACAACTACAAGATCTCACTGGCATTGAAGATATGAGTGTATGTCGTGATGTTCTGATAAGGCATCAATGGGATTTGGAGGTAAGTGAATAACGACGACATGGATTTTGTTTCTATGATGATCAGACGAGATTGATTTAACAGAAGGTGTTAAGTGTTGCTAATGAAAATCGGAATTCTGCAAGGGGATATCGGTTGATGAAATATATGGGATAGATGCAAATTACCATGAATCATGCAATAAGTGTTCCACGTACAGACAGTATGTTTTCTTGTTATGAAAAAATCGATACTTAAAATTTTGTTCAGTTCTACAAGACGTTATCCGAAACCATTGTTTTATACAATCCTATAATAAATAATCCTCCATCTATAGAAGAAAAACTAACACAGAATATTTTCTTAATTCAAGGTCGCCGTACAAGAGCAAATGAACATACGGGAAGGTAGACCCTCATCTTATGTAGGTTCCCGGGAGGTGCGTGCCCCAACTGTTATCAATGATCGTTTCCTGCAACAAGTCTTCTCAGCACACATGCCTGGGGGGCGAACTTCGCGAGGTAGCAGTGCTGGTCCCATGCCACGTAGTATAACTGGTATTATTGGTTACATTATCAATATGGTGTTTCAATATTGTTATTCCACAATATCGAGCATTTTGGGTGCTTTCTTTGGCGGAAACGAGGAGAGAAGTAAGAGAAAAAATACTTTAAATTATTTATGAAAACATCTCAACTATTTCCCTCCCCCTTTTTCACTTTCAGTTGTCACAGATCCCTTAGGTGATGTCATGAGTTTTATACGTAGCTACAATGAACGTTATCCAGAACACCCGGTGTTCTATCAGGGTACATATGCCCAGGCATTGAATGATGCCAAACAAGAATTACGTTTCTTGCTGGTCTATCTACATAAAGATCCTACGAAAAACAGTGATGTCGATACATTCTGTAGTCAAACGTTGGCTAATCGCAATGTCATAGATTTCATTAATCGCAATACTTTATTTTGGGGTTGCGATGTATCATCGCCCGAAGGTTATCGTGTCTCACATTCAATAAATGCCCGTACATATCCCATTATGGTATTGATAGCTTTGAGAGCTAATCGTATGGTTATAATGGGACGTTTCGAGGGCGATTGCACGGCCGAGGAATTGGTGAATCGTTTGCAAACTGTGATCAATGCCAATGATGTGTGGTTAAGTCAGGCCAGAGCCGATCGTTTGGAACGTAATTTAACACAGACATTGCGCCAGCAACAGGATGAGGCATACCTACAAAGTTTAAGGGCTGACGAAGAGAAAGAACGCATGCGTGAATTGGAACGTCAAAAGGAGAGAGAAGCAGAAGAGGCTTTGGAGCGTGAAAAACAAAAGGCAGAAGAAAGGAAACAGGTATGATTTTTCTTTTAGTCATCAACTTTAATCATAATCATATAAACTTATTCTATTCTCAATTTTATAGGAAATTGTACGATTGAAAATGGAATTAGCCGAACAAGTACCATCTGAACCACCCGCCGATGCTTTGGATGCCATTAGTGTAGTATTTAAACTGCCCAATGGTGCACGTATTGAACGTAGATTCCAACAATCAAATTCACTATTAGTAGGTTTCTTTGTTTTGATTTTGCACTCCCTCCGCTTGATCTCATTTAATAATTATCATCTTCATTTTAGGATCTTTCCAATTACTTATTTTGCCATCCATCAACACCGGATGAATTTGAAATTACAACGAATTTCCCCAAAAGAGTTTTATATTCAAAATCCTATGAAACGGATAATGATGCTGCCACATTATCAATTGCTAATAAGACATTAGTTGAGGTTGGTTTGACAAATCGTGAGGTACTATTTGTTAATGATTTGGAAGCGTAATATTTAGAGTACATTATTGTGATGTATGCGAATGAATGAATGATGATAATGCAAAACTAGAATATTTCAAAATTTCCAGAACAGAACGGAAATGTTATGGTGAAACAACAACAAGAAAGTAAATAAAACAGAAACAAACAAGAAAGACATCTCTCTATTAACGGTATCGTTTTTTTTTTTAATAACATTTTTGTAAGTCTCTACTCCAATTGAAAAAGGTGTGCAGCTCTTTATTCGTTATTGGAAAAAAGGAGAAGTATTCTCATTATTTTTCGTACAACTTGTTATTATTTCTTTAACGATATGTAGTAATAGAAAAAATATGAATATTTTTTTAAATAAGTTCTCAAATGATATATATCCAAAGTTATTTATAACTTTGGATATATATCATTGAGTCATGAAGTTGTTTTAATATCCATCCTACCTATTTGATTTTATTGCCATAGAGATTGAAGAGTACATAAATAATACGTCTTAACATGGATGGTAATTTTCTGGTCGGAAACCCCAACATTTTATTCTTAATCGGAATAGAATACTCAGTGAATACTGTTATGTCAGTATTTATATTTTGATAAAATTCGGTATAAATGGTATTACGAAATTATGGTCTAGTTGAATTTTCTAAACCAAATGACCACCGTCTAACAAACTTAAACGTTAAATATTCTTACCATCATGTTCCGAACGCTTAATCTGCATTTTTTGATCGAGTAAACTGGTTCAGTGTTGATCAGCCCTTCTCGTTTTCGTGAAAACAAACCACACGTACTCTCTCCCAATTTAGATCTGCAGTTTGTTTAGCATAGGCGGAAGAATACCAATGCGAGTAATATGAGCATCACTGGGTTAGTTTATGTGAGCTGTGGCAAAACACGAACATATGTTGAAATGTGAATCCGAATATAAAATTCGTTTATGATACCTAAAAAAGGACGAAACGGTTTTACCTTTTTGGGACCCGCAATGACAAATTAAATCCGCTTGGGTTGGAAAATTAGACGCCCTTAAAACAGAAAATAGTGCTAGACAGTTATATAAGGGCTATGCCTAAACATAGCCTTATATGTTTTTTTTTCGCGAAAAACCATCAAAATAAGGATATGTGAGCTAACCGATATTTAAATACCATTCGATATAAAATGCATATTGAACCTTCTAAATACTTAAAATGGACCGGAGATTAAACCTTTTCTGGGAGAACGTCTTTCAACACTTGAAAAGACAAAATTTAAAAACTTACGCGGTTTGGGACATGTTATTGGCTATGTCAAAACATGGACCTTTAATTTTTCCCGAATAAATACTTTTTGGTAGGGAAACATCTATGAAACCTTAAAATCGAGGACCGATGTGTCTGCATTTATGGGCATTATTTCAAAACTCTGTATAGAAAATAGAAAGTTCCAAATTACAATTTTTGGGAAATGTCGTTAGTCTCTATAGTTTAGCAGTGTCCCGTTATGACCTTCACTAACGTTGGAAAAGATGCAAGTTTTGACCAACTGGCCTTTAAAAAATTATAGAAATTTTTCAAAACTGTGTGCGTAATTTTATTAATTCTTTTATGATAACCACTACAGATTCCACGATGTAAAATTTGTACCCTCGGCCATTGTTAGGATAACCTTTCATAGAAAGCTATACAGTCCTCTATAAACAGTTCCAATTTTTTTTTTTCATATAAAGATTGTAGGAAACAAATGACCAAATTGTCCCCAATTTGGTCATTTGTTTGGTATAGAGAACGTTTTGGCTTATGGAATAAAATATTTATTAGGCTAGATAATTTAATTACTCAAATGCATATCAAAGGGTACCGATTAAGACCTCCAAAAAGTAATGTGTGATATAAACATTAAAAATACAATTGTTTCAATTTATTTTCTCAGATTTTGTATTTATTTTCTTTCAGCATTTAGATATCTACAATAGTACATACGTACGTATGTATATTTACAACGTATCTATTTACATAATTTGGTGATGATACCCATCATAATTTAAAATAAAACTATTTTTTTTTTAAATTCGAATGTAACTACTTGTTTGTATCATTCAAATGCATTTCTTCCTCTCCTTCCAATTTCACAGTTGTCGATGTGCCACCACCTCCCACAGTGTTACAACCATTTGCCAAAACTTCTGTTGGATCTTCAATATTGTGTTTCTTGATGATATGTTTCTTCAAATCATGTATACTTACAATACTTGTGCCACATATCGGACATACGTGTTTGGGTCTATTGATGTCGTGGCTTGCCATATGCGACGACAATGAATTATATTTTCGGTAGCATATTAGACACATGTTGGCTGGCCATTCGGAACGAGGATGTGTCCGATTCACGTGCACTGAACGTTCATAGGATGTTGTAAGATTAACTAAACATATGGGACATTCAAAGGTGCCCTTGCGAAAATGATTACGACGCAAATGGCCATATATTAAGCCCATGGTATTGCAACGGGTATCACAAATGGTACAAACAAATGACCGGTATGGCATGTGGGTTAGTTTGTGTTTTTGTCGATGTGAAAAACTATTGTCCAGTTGCAGATTACAATGTTTACACTTATATTTACCCAGACTTCCATCATAGTCGGATAGTTCACTCTCATTAAAGAATGTATGCTCCTTGTGGATGTGTTCATTCCACGATGCTTGTTTATCAAAAGGTTGATTGCATTCCGGACAGGCGAATGTAATGAAATTTTCAAATTCATATAATGTTACAGCTTTTTTATTTGCTGTACCAAGACCAGTGTTAATAATATCCGGTTGGCCGCCTGGGCCAGTGGTGGTACTTGAATTTGCAGCCGATTTATTTTTAGGTTTACTGGCTTTTGGAATTTTCAATGCCTTTTCCTGTGTATTATCACATTCATCTTGTAACGATCTCTTCATACGCTTGCCAATCGTATGGAATCTTCGTAAATGTCTTCTACATATATCCAAGTGTTTGTAGGAACGTTGACACATCAAACATCTGTACGGGCCTTCGTCAATATGTTCTATGTAATGCTTCAAGCATATCTCACTACTGACACTACGTATTGTTGTCTTACATTTCTTGCAGATCATATCGATATTGTTGGGATTTCGATTAAATTGCGACGCAAAATTGTTGTGGCTATTCGAAAAGTGGTTATTGATATCCTCCGTGTTGGCGAAGAAATTTATTTTCTTACACATCGAACAAAATATCTCAATCCAATTTTGTTCGTCATCGGAAAATTTTGGAATTGCTATTTCGTGAAAGACATCGTTATATTTTTGATCATTTTCATCGCATTGCATTTGAAAGTGTTTAATTGCCGTGTCCAAATCACCCAATGCCTTTGAACACTTCCGACATTTATACGGTAAGTGGGGTAAATGCAGGAAACGATGCAAATGGATATCCCTTGATGTTTTATCAATTAACGAATTACAATCTATACACATAAATTTTTTGGGATTTCTAACCAAAATTGATAAACGCAGTCCTTTCAGTGTGTTCATAAAGTGAATGTGTCTCAGGTGCAATTGCCAGGAACTGAATGTGTTAAAATCAAGACCACAATATGGACAAATATGACTTATATATGATTCAAATGCTTTCCATTCAGCGGATTGCTCCACACAGGTAGTTAACGATGATGACACCGACAACGACGACGAAGAGAACACAGAACCAGTAGAGGCTTGCTCTTCTTCAGCTTTGTATTCATCGCCTGCGAAATATACATACATTGGCCTGCAAAAATGCATGGTATCTTTATAGGAAAATTTCCCCTGACAATATTTACAGAACCATATAAATTCCTTGTGGTGGCTTAAATAGTGTTCCAGCAGTTTGTGTGCACCCGCATCGATGTACACTTGAGAACATTCAAGACACTCGTACTGGCCTCCTTCACCCACGCCCGCTCTAGAAAAATTCAATTGACTCCAATTGTAATCACACAAACCATGTAAATTCATAAGATGATCATAATATTGAGATTCCCTATCAAATTTCGGATGTTTGCACAGGGGACAATGGAAGTAACCCAACATTGTTTTGTATTCACTTCTATGTACATCGATAAAGTGTAGTTTCAACAAGAGTTTCTCGGTAAATTCCAGATGGCATCCCGCTATAGGACAACGTTTGAAATTAACAATTATTTGTTTGTGATTTTCGAATATGTGGTCCCATATTTTCGACAAGGTAATCTTCCGACGTTTGCAGATTTTACAAACAAACAATAGCTTATTTTTGGGAGAGTGACAGTCGAGGTAATGCAAATAATGAGTAGACTGTTTGACTAGAGTCTCATTACAAAGAGTACAGGTGGCCGTACGAACTGCTGTATATTCATATTGCAATTTGATTTCTTCACCAATTTGGGAATGATATTTGTTAATGTGTTTTGACCACATGCCGAATCTATGTACAGACACTTTGCACATCGGACATATTATGCGTATTGAGTTCTGATTAAGTAGTATTTCAATTTTCTTATACATGTTCATTGGAGTCGTAGGTATATGTGATGGATTTATTTCATTTGCGGGATCATCGTCCGATTCGGATGTGTTTGTGTCATTGTCGTAATCCGACATATCTTCATCCTCGTCGTAACTAAATTCATTAAAATTACCATCATTGTCGTGGTGCACAGCATAGCCACAATCCTTATCATCTTCATCTTCCTGATATTCAGCATCGATGATTAATTCTTCTTTCTTTATCGTCATTTGAATGCCCGGAACTAAATGTGTGGGATACTGGTTCGCATCTTCACAAGTAACTTCGTGTTTTATTTGAACATCCATTTTATAACATTAAATGTCGCCCTTACGATTGGGCGAGAATCTTTAGGAGTATCCAATTTGTACTAAAATTTCCAAAAAGAAAATCCAAATAATATTCAAACTCTGTTTTGGAATTGTCTTTAGGAATATCCACTTGTCCTGCTGCTGATTTGTTGGTGGTTGCTGCTGTCGTATTCGAATTATTCTTTATTGACTCCTTTGCCTTAGACTTAGGAATCTGCACATATAATTCTTCCAATTTTCGCAAATTTAATGAAAAAATTAAATAAAATACTAATAAATTAACAACGCACACAACAAATTCCCACTAATCTTTGAAGCACCCTGGTCTTTGCGAAGCAACATTGTTTTGATTAGCAGCAATCCTGTTATTTTCGCAGTGGAACGTTTTTAAATTTTGATGATGGAGAGAGAGAACAACGCTCGTCTGTACATGGCATTATCGAGCATTTTGTCTTCTTATTCCATTCGTTAGCAGGTGGAACGTTTTTCAATTTTTCATCCAATTCCGCAACGCCGTCAACATTTTAAGAAACAGCATTGTAATTAAAAGCAACGGTACTTTTCATTCGAAATCGAATTCAAAGAATAAACTCTTCAAACTCTTTTAAATCTTCTAAATATTAAAATTTAAATATTTTGGGGTATATATATATATATATATATATAATACCATTACTTACAATACTTACCAGCAAGTTACAGGTTGTAAGTATTGTATTGTAATAATATTATATAAAAAAATTAAAACTTTATAAAACATAATCCATATATAAAAGTGGTCGTGTTCTCCATCTTCTCATCTGAACATGGGGAGGTACTAGAAGGAGTGATGTTAGTGATTGATCTCCACAAAATAGGTGCCTTGGTGGTTACCATTTTTCGTAAGGCCACATATATCACATATCTCTCATCAAGGCCTAAGGTAGCTAAGGCAGAATGCAGAATGATCGTACACGTTTGGACCGTCCTTATATAAAAATAAAATATAAAACGCCCTAAATGGGATGGATAGATCTGGACAGATAGAGCTGAAATTTAAAATTGGATTGGAATGTAGAACTTTTGGATTCGGTGGACCCCCCCTTCTGGATTCAATGAGCCTTGAAATTTGGAAGATTTGGTTCAGTCAACGTCCCTTCTGAATTTATAGGAGTGTCCTAGTCGTTAATTAAAAATGTATGCTTCTTGTTGGGTTCTTCAATAATTAAAAAAAATAGGGTAAGAAGAATGTAACAGCTTAATGTCGACATACACTTCTATTCCGATGACTTCGGAGAATACAGAACTATCAAGTCTGTTTGTATATCTAAATATATTAGGTAATATGATATAAACATATATTTTGCTTTTTCAATTTAGGTTCGTCAAAGATTTTACAGAATTCTGTATCGAAGTTATTTGAAAACCATATTCATTTCCCAAGATTGACATAAACAACGCGACCTGTAATTAAGATCAAAAGCAATTTCTGCATTTGCCTGGAAGGAACACACAAAAAAATGCAAAGCTGACGCTTAAAAGAACGGAAAATGGAACGTCAAAAACGTTATTTAGAAAATCTTTGCAAAAAACGAACAAAAGGAAAACATGCTGTTTTGCAATGAGGACACTGAAAATGATTTTCTCAAATGTATTGGATGCGATACTTGTCCAAAATGGTATCATTTTAATTGTACCGAATCGACGATATAATGATATTGTTGAGTTGGATTTTGTATGCAAGTCATGCAAAGACGAATAGCTTCAATATAAATTAAAAAAAAAACTTTCAAAGACTAATATGTATTAAATACCTGAACTAAAAAAAAGAATTCCAAACATTTTAATTGACGATCTCCTATTTATTTATATTAAAAATTTCCTCAATACTTAACCTTAAGGAATATTAAAAGTTACTACAATTTACCCATTTTAGTATAAAACCGAAACTAAACTTATTAAATGAATACAATATTTTATTTTGCATTTTAATTTTAGCTTTAAGCTTATGTTTAAAAAACCACTCAAAATTAAATCTTACAATTAACTCCATATGTAAATCTTTATTATTTATTTTATTTTTTCAATAAAATGAGGATCGCAATGTCAATGAATAATTTCATTTCTTTATTGATATCAAAAATAAAATATTTGATCATATAGTGAATTATTTAATGAAAAATTGATATGCCGACTATTGGGACATGTCATGCCGACAATTGGAAAATGGTGCCGAATACTAGCAAAAAACCAATATTTTACTGAATTTGCAAATTTCAAATTTTTAATAATAACTAATTGGAAATGAACTAACATTTAAAGCAATACACTCGGAATGACCAAGGATTAAAGATAGACAAATCCTTAAAGTGCCGACGATTGGTACACTTACCCTATATATATTAAATATAAAATCTAATTATAATTAATATAAATAAAATAATAAAATAAAAATAATATTATTAAAAAATCTCCAACCTGTTTTTTAAAATTAATTATAATTAGTACGTAAATAATAAAATATAAGTAAATATATAAATAAGTAAATAATTTTAATAAATTTTTGAACATCAATTTCAATTTTTTTAACACAATTATATATATATATATATATATATATAATTTTTAACTTAACACATTATATATATATATATATATAATATTTTTTTATATATTAATTTATACAAACCACATAATCGAGAAATAATTTTTAGTTTTGCTTCTCAAAACAATATGTACACTATTGTTTTGTCCAGCGGAAATTAGTGTCCATCGTGTGAAAGATGAATGGAGAAAAATGTTACTGGAGGAAAACAATATGTACACTAAATGTTACTATGTAAATAAGTACACTAAATGGTACTAAGTTTAGTACAATTCAAATTTGAGTGAAAGAAAGGATAGAGATGATATACTTATATTAAAAAAAATACTGTTAGAGTTTTAGAAACTCGTACTTACGTCTGCAAAAAGTGCTAAATTTGGTACAATATGGATGTTGTTGAACGACTTACCAACGAAGATGCTGCATCCCAACATGCGACTACTCTAAGATGAAGTTTTGTCCAGCGGAAATTAGTGTCCATCGTGTGAAAGATGAATGGAGGAAAATGTTACTGGAGCAATATGAAATAGTGATTAAAAAGTCGCACACTATTTGTTGCAAACATTTTGAGCCGTATATGTTTGGATCCAGGCAGATAAACAACAGTTGCCAAACCATGCCGATTATTGCATCCGATAAACCATATTGAGTCTACAGTACGGACATCGACTGGACTCCATGAGGCACCTTTTGTGACTTCAGTACGGATATTGCCGGCTGAGGTACATATGGAATCTGCATTACAAACATTACCGGCTGAAATCCATGAGGTACCTATTGATTGTACAGATTGTACTATTGTACCTATTGACCTCATTGAACACACAACACCGCCATTACCGGAAAATAATGAAATATGTAAGTTTTGTTCGTTTGCTTTTCAATTCCAAACGAAATACATATTTCTCTTTTTTTTAATTTTAAATAGTGTTGGAAACAGTTGGATGTTTTGGAGAAGATGTATCGATATATATAAAAATCAGCATTTAAGTGAACAGCTACATCTTGCTCAAGCCAAAAATATTTCACTCCGCGAAGAAGTTGCGTCAATGCGTACGAACGGCATATTCCCAGGAAAGGATGCTAGCAAAAATGCTATAGAGTTCGCACGTGTCATTACAAATGACTCTCAGCCACCATGCAACTCTGTTCAAAAAGACGTAATTCAACACGTACACTTTCTTTTACAAAAAAATATATAAGTACATCAGAAGTGTGCTGAATTTTTCCTTGCCCAGTACCGAATGCGTCCTAAGTTGGCGATCGAAGCTACGGATTCTGGCATTTGACAAATCTGTATTGGAGACATTGATCACAATAATAGACGGAATGGCAGCAGAGGATCGATCATGAGCACTCTAATTTGATCAGCTGAGAGCCACTGAAGAATGTGAGAAGGACGTCATATACGCTCTTGGAATTAAATTGGTTGGTTTGTGTAAAAACTGGAGCATCCTAATTGACTTCATACCAACCCTGGAATACAATTTGGAAACGCTGGAGAAAATTTTGCAAGATGTAATTCGGGAAATACAATTACTTCCAATACATCTGATTATCGGCAATTGCGAACAACATCCTGTACATGTCCAATTACAGCGTCCCGCTTTGCTTCCGCCTTCCTCCAGACTCCGAGGATGTTTAGAATTTATGTTCGATTGGTGGGGAAGGTTGGAAACCACCTTCTAAACAATTTAACAATGAACTTCTTCGAAAAGAACATTTACATCAGAAGCAGACTCGGTAGACAAATTGACCTCATTAATCCTGATATAATTTTCAAATCAGAAGAAGGGAAAAGGTTTTGTTCTCAATTGCACAAAACAATTTTCGCACACAGCTATTACCGTTCATATGCTTACAAACACAAACCGATGGAGAGAGTTGCGGCGCAAACAATAGTCAAACTCTAATTGTTTGCTTTGTAATTGGGGGAACAAGCCAAAGATCTGATAAAGAACGAATTTACAACAAAATTGTCTTGTTTAGGAAGGGTATGATGCATAATCGCCACAATGTTTATTTGTATACATAGAGAGTAAATATGAAATCAGCTGATAATTTTTCTTTTCGCGTTAAACCGAAACTATACTTATTAAATGAATACAATATTTTATTTTGTATTTTACTTTTAGCTTTAAGCTTATGCTTAAAAAACCAATCAAAATGAAATCTTACAATTAACTCCATATGTAAATCTTTATTTATTTTATTTTTGTCCTTTTTTAATAAAATAAGGATCGCAATGTCAATGAATAATTTCATTTCTTTATTGATATCAAAAATAAAATATTTGATCATATATTTATTGAATTATTTAATGAAAAATTGATATGCCGACTATTGGGACATGCTTACCCTATATAATTTAAATATAAAATCTAATTATAATTAATATAAATAAAATTATAAA